GGCCGTCTGCATTTCGACCTGCGAGACCGAGATTTCTTCATATACACTCCCTACCGGCACGTAGAGCACCTCACGGACATGGCTCCGGAGGAAGCGCACGCGGTCCTGCGCGAGATAGACCTCATGATAGGCGCCATGACCGACTCCTTCAACGTGCAATACAACAAGGGCCGCTGGAAGAGCCACCAACACGTCCACATCAAGGTGACCATCGACGAGCCCACGTTCCGCCGGATCAAGCGTCAGCACCTCTCGGCGCGCGATTGGAGAGTCTCCTCGTCGCCCTGTGGCGTCGAACACAGGGTCGCACCTCTGTCGGAAAGGCGCTCGTGGCGGGAGAGCGTCAAGTGACTCTGCACCGAATAGTCCCAGTATAAATTCCCGTCGCCGATCGGGATCAAGGCTCATTCCCACGAACCATGGAGTACACCGTGCTGGAGCCGATCGAGCACGTGCGTCGACGCCCCGACACCTACATCGGCTCGAAGGAGCCGGTCACGAGGGAGTGCTTCGTGGCCGATGCCGTCGAGGGCCCCATCTCGAAGCGCGAGATCACCTTCAATCCGGGACTCTACAAGATCTTCGACGAGGCTCTCGTGAACGCCATCGACAGGTCCAAGAGGGATGAGTCCTTGACGTACATCAAGGTCACCGTGGAGGGAGGACGGGTCCGCATCAAGAACGACGGAGCCCCCATCCCCGTGGTCAAGCACCATCAGATGACGGATCTGTACGTTCCCGTGGTCGTCTTCGGGGTGCTGCTCTCCGGCAACAATTTCGACGACTCGCAGGACCGCCTGACGGGCGGACGTAATGGCCTCGGCGTGAAGCTCGCCAACATCCTCTCGACGCGCTTCGACGTCGAGGTGGTGGACCGGGAGCGTAACCTCAAGCTGACCCACTCCTGGGGGGAGGGCATGGTCACGAGGGGCGAGGACACGAAGGTGAAGAGGCTGGCGGAGTCCAGCAAGGAGCGCTCCAGCGTGACGGTCTCCTTCGTCCCCGACTTCGAGTACTTCGGGGAGGCGGAGCGAGCGTTCTCCGAGGACACCGTCGCGCTGTTCCGTCGGAGGGTCATGGACGCCGCCGGTTGCACCCCCCGGCCCGCCGTCTCCTTCGATGGCAAGACCATCAAGGTCAAACGGTTCGTGGACTACGTCCGGCTCTACGAGACGAACGGAGGGTGGGTGGAGCACGTATTCGGGCCCTGGAGGCTGGCCGTCTCTAGGTCGGCGCCCGGTTCCGGGTACTCTCACGTCTCGTCCGTCAACGGGGTCGTCACGCCGATGGGGGGCACACACGTGGACATGGCGTGCAACGCGCTCATGCGTGCTCTCGGGCAGGCGATCAGGGGAGCCGAGCGCTGCACGACCGCCATGAAGGCGGCCATCTTCCTCGTCGTCCACGTGGACGTGGCGAATCCGAGCTTCTCGAGCCAGTCGAAGGACGCGTGCAATACGCCGGCCTCCAGGCTGCCCCGGTTCGAGCTGCCCGCGGAGGTCGCGAAGAAGGTGGTCGACCGGCTCAAGCTCCGGGAGGTGGTGGCGGAGTCGGAGCGCGCCAGCGACAAGCGCCTCCTGGCCTCTACGAACGGCACCAAGTCCTGGGGCTCGGCGCTCAAGATTCCCAAGCTGGACGACGCGCCCAAGGCCGGGACCCGCGACTCGCACCGTTGCACCTTGCTCCTCACGGAAGGCGACTCGGCCAAGTCTTTCGCCGTCGCAGGCGTCGGCGCCCTGGACCGGACCGAGCGCGAGTACTGGGGCATCTTCCCACTGAAGGGCAAGCTCCTCAACGTCTCGGAAGCCTCCGCCAAGCAGCTCGCCGCCAACGCCGAGGTGACGCGGATCCAGAGGATCGTGGGTCTGAAGCACGGCACGTCGTACGAGTCCGTCCGCCAGCTGCGCTACGGCCGGCTGGTCGTGCTGGCGGACGCCGACAGCGACGGCTACCACATCCTAGGGCTCATCATCCACTTCGTCGAGACGTTCTGGCCCAACCTGGTCGACCTCGGCTTCGTCTGCTCCCTGAGGACCCCCATCATCAGAGCGATCCCGTCCGCCGGCAAGGGGAGCTGCGTCGAGTTCTTCAGCGAGCGGGCGTTCTCCGAGTGGATCGACGACGAGAGGAAGCGCCGCTTCAAGATACGCTACTACAAGGGACTGGGCACGCATACCTCGGCCGAGGCGAAGGCCGTGTTCGGCAAGATGGACCTCGTCAGGTACACGCGCGACGACGAGGGACACCGCAGCATGCAGCTCGCCTTCTCCGGTTCTCGCTCGGACGAGCGCAAGGGCTGGATCGTGGCGGCGACCGCGACGCCCCCACAGGAGCTGACGGGGCCCGAGATGAGCCTCACCGAGTTCGTGAACAACGACCTGGTGCGGTACGGGCTGGCGGCGAGCGAACGGGCGCTGCCCTCCGTCTGGGATGGTCTCAAGCCCAGCCAACGGAAGATCATCTTCACCTTGCTGGAGTCGCCGGAGGCCGACGAGATCAAGGTAGCCCAGCTCGCGGCCAAGGTGGCCCTCCGCACGATCTACAAGCACGGGGAGACCTCCCTAGCGAGCGCCATAGTGAATCTCGCCCAGGACTTCGTCGGAGCGGGCAACATCAACCTGCTCCAACCCATCGGCTGCTTCGGAACGCGGCTGCTCGGCGGGAAGGACGCAGCCAGCCCTCGCTATATCTTCACGAAGCTGTCCGCGCCGGCCCCTCTGATCTTCCGCCGCGAGGACTCGGCGCTCCTGAGGCCCCTCACGGAGGAGGGCGAGAGAATCGAGTTCGAGCACCTCGCACCCGTCCTCCCGATGCTGCTCGTGAACGGGTGCAGCGGCATAGCTTGGGGTTTCTCCACGAGCATCCACCCCAGAGATCCGAAGACCATCATGGCTAACCTCCGGCTGCTCCTGGGCGTCGGCAAGGGAGCCGCGCTGCTTCCGATGCCCCCTTTCTGGAGGAAGTTCCGGGGCACCGTCGAGTCGGCCGGCGAAGGAAAGTCGTGGGTGGTCAAGGGCTCTTTCGAGCGCGCCGGGAACGCCACCCTGAGGATCACGGAGCTGCCCGTCGGGACCTGGACCGAGACGTACAAGGAGCTCGCAGAGGGGATGGACGGTGTGGCGAGGGTGCACGCCACGTCGACGGAGGAGGAGGTGCGCATCGATCTGGTTTTCGAGTCGGAGAGATGCCTGTCCGAGAGGCTGGAGGGGGATCCCGAGAGGGCGCTCCGTCTCAGGAAGAACGTGGACGATGGCAACATGTACGCCTTCGACACCGGGGGCGTCATCCGGAAGTACGGGTCCGTGGAAGAGATGCTGCTAGAGTTCTTCGACGCGAGGCTGGAACTGTACGGGAGGCGGAAGGCGCGGATGCTGTCGGACCTGGAGGAGGATCTTCGGTCCAAGCGCGACCAGCGTGCCTTCGTGGACGCCGTGGTGGCCGGCCGCATCGCCGTCTGGAGGCGACCCGCCGAAGAGGTCGTGGACGACATACTGACGCTGGCGACGACGGCTGATCGGACGGAGGCCCGCAACATGCTCAAGATGCAGCTGGCCAGCATGACGAGCGAGCGGCTGGTGGAGCTAGAAGGCAGGATAAGAAGCTTGGAGACTCAGATAGCGGTGCTGGAAGGCAAGACGCCTCAGCTTATCTGGAGCGCGGACCTCGATGCCCTCGAAAAATACCTCTGACTCTCTCAAGATGGACCTCTTCGTCAAGAAGCTATGCATGGCGGGCGCGCTCGTCGTCGCCACTTTCTTCGCATTCAGCTTCC